ACTTTACCTTCCAATCTTTATAACCATATTTCTGTCTTCCCGCCTACCCACCTAATCACTTACTTACCTACCTACCTACTGACCTATACTACCTACCTCTTTAGAAACTTATCCTTCCAATTCATATTGCTATATTTCTGTCTTCCCACCTACCCACCTACTCACTTACCTATCTATCGACCTATACTACCTACCTTGCTTGGCATTTTAAAACCTTTTAACCAACTCATCACTTATAATCTTGAAAAATAGTATATCATAAAATTTGACAATTCTTTAAAACCTAACATTGGGCCATCTGAAATCTGGAAGCATGCATAAATAAACAAAGTATAAATAGAGCTATAGAAGGCTATTTTTACCGTTCTGTCTAAGCTGTCTGAAACAGTTCCCTTCATTATCAAACAGAAAGTTTCCTTATTTCTGTATATTGGCGAATACCGACTACGCCTGCGGATTGGAAATAACGAGGCGGTGAGCATAGATACGCCTTTGCTTATTTAGGGGGGGGGGGGTATCTATTAACAACATTGAAGATCCCCAAGGCGTGATAAATCTTCCGTTGAAAACAGAGGATGCATAGCAATTAAGCGGAAGGTGAGCAATTTCACACGCGCGGAAACGTAAGGTATACCGTCGCGACAAAGTAGATTTTGGTGCATATCGATCAATGCGTTTTCATGACATTTCATGTCTACGTGTCCTATAACACTTCGCGATTGACGTGCGCTTGTTATTTGGCCGGCAGAAAATACCGCAATGATGGGGAATTTCTGACTTACTGCCACAAAACAATTAGAATTTTTGATTGCTCGCGGTACATGAATACGTCAAATAATACCCATCATTGCTTAAATTATTCGGAACCGGTTTTTTTCTGCAAGTTATATCAAGACGTTTCGTTAACCAAGTGCGAAACTGAAAAACGCATGTCAGTGAACGTCTAAATAATTTGGTGCATGAATATTCAACGCTTTACACAATTCCTTCCTTGTGGATCAGATTTTGTCTCGACTCTTTACAGATAGAAGATTTGGGTCATGTTATCACTTTTGTTAATCACAGCGCTGAGAATCCGTGGCTCCTTCTACGGTCTGTTGTGGTTTTCAGTTCTGATATTCGTAACTCGTACAGGTTAGAGTAAAAGATTACTAAACCACATTTTACTTAACAGTCTTTATGATTACTAATAGGGATTGCAAAAAAGAAAAAACAAAAAAAACTTCCTTTTTAAGAGACAATAGGGCATTTAAACAAATGGAAGGCGTTGTTTGTGTTTCCCAGTTTACAGGCTAATTTGTCTTTCTTTTTTCCCCTTCAAATCGCGTAATTGTTATCCTTTTCCATGATTTAAAAGCGTTTTTTAGGAACCGTATATATTAGTAATGTACCAACAGAGAACACGAGAGAGACATTTATTTTGGACAATCTAGAAGGTTCTTTAATAATAAGAAAATAAAAGTTACCAGTAATAATTTGGGTATCTTATATAATTATTTGCATGCGTTGCAGATACAGACACCAATGAAAATTACTCAAGGTAATRTTTAATGGATATTTTATTTAGCTTTTCGATTTATGTCTTTGCTACCAGTGTTTGGCTCTTTAATAGCCAGAACTGTTTTAAAATCGTGATCAAGGCTGGCTGGCAACTGTACAAATCAGAATATCTGTTTCCGTTTAATGTATCGATGGTTCGATATTAATCGTTGAGAATGACTCTTGTACTGGCCATGGAACACATACTTGCATAGACTATATATGACAGACTGAGCTTGCTCCTGGAGATGTTTATTGACTCATGAATAATTGGCATATATCGCGGAGGGCGTGGTCGGCCTCAAAGAGAAACGAGGGACAGAGGTATGATCCTTTGGCGATATTTTCCAAGAAGGATACTAGTACGACTGTTGCGGCACATACGAAGTTAAAAAATATATAACAACTTTTTAACATTTTTGATTTTTTCATCCTCCCTTTTAGTTGCACTCCCGCTTATCCAAAGATAAATGAAAGTTTGGTAAAGAATCACTGCCATCCGTTTTACATTAGGAATCCTGTTTTCTGCAAACCCGATGACATTAGCTTTAAACTGCTTTTTGCCAGTTTAGAAAAGCAAAGATACGTGGAAGAGGGTTTGGAGAACTTTATTACAGGCAAAAGACTACTAGAAGGAGATAAAAGACGTAATTTTCGTGTGAATCCATCTTGTCTTCAAGTATACAAGGATGTTTTCTGTAAATGGTCTTTTCCAAAGTGCGTCCTAACCGCCCAAAGACCCACCAAAAGATCAATCTGTCGAGAAACGTGTGAGGATATGTACAAGATATGTGACCGGGAGTATAAAATGTTACTTACCTTTAATGAGTGCAGCAAAGTTATCCGCTATCGTTGGAATCTTTTGAATTGTAGCACTCTTCAGTACAGGAACGCCGGAGACATCCGAGAATGCTACCACAGCAGGAGGCTAAACAGTAAGTCCAGTAATCATACTTTTTTCATTCTGGATAAAAATGGATCGATGACGTCGTTGTTATTGATGGTAATGATAATAATGATTGAACATCATAAAGTAACATTGTGATGAGTAATTTCCAACATTTTGGTATATCAATGGCGAGGCGCCCATGCGCAAGTTTATTTTTAGAAAATGCGGCGCAACCTGCTAAAACAAGAGGTCTTTTACAGTGAACTTTTTGCCGATTAATTTAATCTAATTGTTAATATTTTTTATGTCAGATGAAACGGACAAGCTGTATGCAAAAGGTAAGCCCTGTCAACGAAATATTTTAATTATACTGATCGATGAATAATTTACGTTGCTCTTTATCCATGATCTATACCTTAAACTAACGAATCTTGTGGCTAATGTTGTACCAAAGTCATGCCCTTCTTCTTCTATATCTTTTAATTCACTTYTCTTAGTCCAATTGTCGTCAAGTTTTCTCTCATGGTTTTGCTGACAGCGAAGCYTTGACTGAATACTAAAAGATCATAAATGTCACGTTTATAGATTGTTATTATGGTAGTGGAATGGGTTACCGTGGCAACGTGAGCGTAACAAGGTCAGGTCACGTGTGCCAGTCCTGGTCATCTCAGTGTCCTCATCGTCATGATCATCCTTTGTCTGAGTATCCAGAGCTGGTTAATGCGTCGAACTGGTGTCGTAACCCTGGAGGTCAAGGACCCCATGGACCTTGGTGCTACACCACTAATAGTAGTATGAGATGGGAGTACTGTGATGTAGAGAAATGCCCTCCTCCAGGTAATCAACACCACCAAATGCTGATAATGTATTATACTCGATACTATACTTAGCTCACTAACAAAATTATGCACTGGCAGCACCCACTCTTGCACCAGAAATCACAGAAGCCTATTCCATTGGTCCAAGCAAAGTCATCATAAAGTGGAGTCCAGTCCCTTTACCATTCATGCACGGTGAGCCCCGTGGATTTCGAATCAACGTGTTCCGTTTCCGCCAAGTGTTAAGGARCAATAGAACGGGTCCAAACACCACAACCTTTGAGTACAGAAACTTGCAGGCCTTGACAAACTACAGTATATCAGTACTGGCTTTCAATGATGCTGGGGATGGACCTTACAGTCGTGTTTATGTGAAGACGATGCCTAAAAGTAAGTTTACTTCCGTCAACCATTGATTCTAGATACTTGTATTTAACTATTCGTATGTCGGACTTTTTGTCATAAAATTTGAATTAAATACTATGAAAGACATAGAATTTACCCTAAGGGACTTTCGAGTAAAGACGATGTCGGAGACACAGGCAATTCATTGCTTTGGAACGCGGATCTTCGATCTGTTAAGTCGTCTTTCCCAGAAATTGGCCCATCTAAAGTAATAGTTAAGTATCATTCAAATATTAACCATTTAATTTTGTTATTGTCCTAGATTTTGTATCCGTCACATATCTAGTGACTCTGAGGCGAAAAGCTCTAAGTGTTGCATTAAAAGAGCATTTAATATTTTCCAAAGTCAAAAACATGGTATGTAATATTTCAGTATGGCTGGGGAAAATGCTTCTTAACTCTTGGTTTGGATTTGATCTGTGATTCGGTTTTCTGAGCTCTACATTTGTCTGTTTGCTCCGAGTTTGTTTTGATGCAAGTCTGATATTTCTAAATAGCTTAGTTCCCTTCTCATTCGATAAACACCCATGTTTTTATTTGAGCACATAGGCTCATTTCTACAGGTGTATGCTATTGTAGTGCACAGTGTTACGTATGAGATTGAGTTGGGGAAGCAGGTCGACTGAAACCAATTAATTACACAATCCATTAAGTGGTCTTTTCCAGGAAGGAGGAGGTGACTCAAATGGTTBCCCTATTAAAATTCTGGTCTTTTCCAATCTTTGAAAAGGGAGTCGGTCTAATCTGATGAACGATTRGACACATTGATGTTTCAAGGCACCTTGAATTCCCGCTATAGCAAATTACTTTCCCTTCCTTTTTTCCATAGCTCTGGAAACTGTTTCAACATCCAAGTGGCTATAATATTTACAAAATCAAGATTACAGACTTTTGGTAAGTTAAGACTAGAGTAACTAGTTTTAATTTAATTTAATTTTTGCTCATAAGCCTTTCGTGTTTTCAAGGTATTTTATTTTGGTTTTAGGAAAGGAAAATTGAAGATAGAGCTAATGGTCACAGYAGAGCTTGAATATCTGCCTCCTTGGTCTGCTGTACAGGATATCACTGGACGTATCTTACGAGGAACAAGAGAGGGCAATAAGATAATTGAGTCATTTCTTCTCAAAGGTAAATGTGGCTAGCCTGACTAACACAAAGAATTAAAACCATAAAAGCTAGTATTACAGTTCTAATAGAAAAACCTTGGGCACCTAGAAATATTTCAAGAATGTCTCTTAAGGTAATTCCCTTATTTTGCACTGCGCATTTTCCTGCGCATGCATACTAAAAGCATGGAATTAACAAAGTTTAGTCATTTCTCTTTCGTAAACTAAATAAGGAACATGTTCAAAACCAATTTTAACTTCTTTCTCTTTTTTGGGTAGAGAAATTGCGATTTTTATCTGACTCGCCCAAGTCTTCACTCGGAAAAGTTTCAGTTTTCGACTATTTTGAGATGTTTTTTCAAGATAAATCAAAAACGAGAATGGTAATCCCCATTTCTTATCTCAGATTTTTGATAAATGCGATGCTCGTCATTATATATCAAAATATGAAGGAAAGATCATTGGATAGATTTTGATATATTTTGATGAGAATAGTTGACATGTGCAATTTTTGGACGTTCGTAGAGGCGCACATACCTGCATTTTTCACTAATGGTTCAAGAATCATAGTCTTTCAATGACTTTGATGGATTTAATAGTATAGATTTTCTAGTAAACTTCGAGTTATAAGTACGTTTTGTTATATGAAAGTATAACTGTGAATAAAGGTTCTTGATTACAGCTTCCGGTTGCTACCTCATTTCACTATAAACCCCATAAATTGACATATTTGGAGAGCATCTAGCGAAAAAACGAGAATGGTGACCCCATCTTTTTATTGCAGTTTAAAAAAAGTCCATAACAGAATTAATATTCATGCAAAGTTTAAGGACAAAGTTGTTGGCAAAATTTCTTTCTAGGGAATTACCTTAACCCAATCAGAAGCGTTATTGTTATCTTTCTGTTATTTGTGGTTAGAAAATCGATTCTGATTGGACAAAGAACAATAGAACATTCCTGGAATATTCTAGGTGCCAACGGTTTTTCGATTYGCACTGTCTTTATAGATTCACAAGTCTTTATAGATGCAGCAAGTAGATGATTTTATTTGTATTATCTTTCTTCATTGTAAGGTCCGCCACCACCCCCAGATCATGTTAGAAACATCGATGTAAACAAGACGTCGGYGACTATTGCATGGACAGTACCGCTGTACCATAAACTATATAAAATTACTAACTTCTTAATACGGTACAAGAAAGCAGGTACAAACTTAGGTTATTACGATGCTGGTAGTGTGAACCCTGACAAGACCAAATTCACTGTCAAGAATCTAGACGCGGGAAAGAAATACCTGATGCAGGTGGTGTCTGTTAATGCTTATGGTTTTGATAAAGAAGCAAGTGAACCACTAGAGGTACAGCTCAAACGAGGTAAGAGATAAGTAAGTCTTCCTTTTGCCGCTTAGCCTGATATTTCTGCATCTCGCTATATTTGCGTTCCAATGCCTTAGCTTGGACGAAATGGTTTCGGATTTCAAAGCACGTTTCATTCCCCATAGTATCATTACTTTGTTTAATGATTGCGCATTGAGAAACCACATGGATACCACTCAGTACAATTCATATGCTCATACAAATAATCTAGTTCTCTTGTACACTTGGTTTAATGGGCAAAAATAATAAACCCAAGGTGTATAGACCTTTGTGCTAATCAAATGCAGAAAAGTGCTAAGCCTCCTAAAGACGCAATTAAACAATGGTTCATTAAACACATCTTTCGTTTTCACGCGCTCATAATTAGTATTATTTTCATGCACATATGATTAGTATTATTATTCAAAATGTGTATTTGCTGCTAGATCTAGACAGCGCGCCTTCTCAACTAGTTAGCTGGCGAGCCCCCAGCTATTTTGTAAACCTAATTTTTACTGTATGTACCTAATATTCTAATTAACTTCATTCATTTTACACTGATAGAGGTAACCAAGTCACCATCAATTTTGCCAATTCTTCTACCTTTTGTTGTTATAATCCTCCTGATAACTGGAAGTGGAGTTTTATTTGGAAGATGGTGGATTGAGAAGCAACTCAAAAATAAAGAAATACAGGACAAACTTCAAAAGGTAAGGTACAATTTTACACTTGATATCTCGAAACTCAAGTCCATTATTTTGAACCTTTACCTCTTCACATTTCAACCTGTATCTTTAGCTCAAGGAAAATCCACATGGTACAGCGGTGTGCTGGTTTGATCTTCTTAAAATCAAGATCACTAAGCAATGGTGGGAGATACCACGTGAAGAATTGGTACTTGACGAAAAGCTTGGATCAGGTGCCTTTGGTGTCGTGATGAAAGGGTATTTAAAGAGAAGAGAGGATAATGACTGTACACGCATGATATGTGCTGTCAAGATGCTAAAAGGTACTGATTTGGTGATAATTGGATTATTTTTCTCTCAGCAACAACACAAAGAAAAAATTGTATTTTTTCTCATGAAAGGAGGCAATATATTGTATCGCGATTCTCCAATATGTTTTTCTCTTAGCCGCCAATATTTACCCGTATTAGCGGCTAAAAGTCGCAATAAGTTATAAGGATAAAACATCAATTTATAAAAAGCTTTAAAACAAGATATATATACTGATCATGGCTGAGAGCATTCCCAAGAGATTTAAAAGACCTTGGCATGCCGGCCATCATGGTGCGGTTACCATTGGATGTTAATGAGAAATCTTTTGTTAAAGGACAACAATACGGCCGCGATGATTTCGCGTGCAATCGAAGAATCAGCTATCGATTGACCTAATCCACTGTTTTCCCATTTCAGACCAACTGTCATTCCCTAGAGTTTTTTGTTTGTTTAAAACGGTTGCACATTAGAGGACACATGAATATGGAAACAAAGAAAATTATTCTCAAGGTGGTGACACGTAGTCTGAAAAGGGCAAAACATTACGCCCAAGTAGATAGGCGCCCATTCATCTAGAGAGTTAAATTTTGTCCCCACATAAATAATTTATGACTGACGCCATAGTGAAATAGCGCAATTATCGTTATAACATATCCTCTTTAATCAATTGTCTTGCCTTGTCATATCAGACAATTCAACAGAGCAAGAATTGCGTGACCTGTGTAACGAAATCAACATCATGTCATCAGTTGGCGATCATCCTAACCTTGTCAGCTTGATTGGAGCGTGTACGATCGATGGTAGGTGTTACACTAGTTCTTCAAGCTCTTTTTAAAGAGTACTTTATTCCCAGTGAATACAGTGCATATGAATAGAGGCTTTGCACCATCACGTGATGGCAGCCATGACAGGAAGCGCAACAATAGATTCTCTTTCCTCAGAGAAACTAAATTATTTCTTATGTAAATTAGATTAGACCAGATTCGATTGTTCCTGCCTCCTGTCATGGCTGCCATCACGTGATGGTGCAAAGCCTCCAGTATAGATAATGAGATATGCAGTAGCCGAAAACTAACTCATTGCTGTCTACGAGAGCAGTCAGTAGTATATTCACTTGTACTACATTTGTCACGAACAACATCATGCCTGGAGTTGGTTGGTTATGCACAATTTTGATGTCATTGGAAACAACGTGGATGGCTGTAGCTTATACAACTGACGAAAAGGATTGTGGTATACCATCATTGTGCTAATTTTAAGTTTTATTTCCGGCACTGAGAATATTTTACTTTACTTTTACCTTGAAACAGTTAGTAGATTAATACAGGTTGAGAGATCTCATTTATAATGCGTTTTCAATTGTCTATTTGGCTATTACATATAATAACAAAGGATTTTTGTTTCAGAAATCGCATGCACATACACTTATTTCATCAAAATTAGTCACCTGAAAAGCTACAAAGCTGAGACCGACAAGGATTATGGGTAGATACATTTTACATGTTTTAACCGCTTGATAACTGTTGATGGACTTGAGAGTCTTCTACCAGTTACGAGTTCACCTCCTCTGAGCATCCTCAACTGCTGCAGTTTGTCACAAGCTTTACTTGTTGGATATGAAATATTTCCCATGATTCTCAGCGATCACAGCTTTCTAGGTTTTTGGTGACTAACTTTATTGAAATGAGTATATAAAGGGTTATTATCTTTCAGTCAAGATATTTTGATTTATAGGCCCTTCATACATGTCTATATTTTCAGGGCCCCCTCTGTTGGTACTGAATTTCGCCCCAAATGGGTGTCTTCTTGACTGCTTAAAAAACAGTCGCCCTGCACCTGAGTACATGGTTCCAGGTTACCGTAACCCAAACCCAATATCTGTAAGGCAGCGAATGAGCTTTGCATACCAGATTGCTCAGGGGATGGCGCACTTGGAGCAACATAGGGTAAGTAACTATGGGTTTGGGTTTATAAATACAGTAAAGAGACTAGAGCAAGTAACGCGGTACGACACACGTACAGACAACTTCGAATTCAAGATAAGTAGATATGTGACCTTTCAACCTACCCATAAACTTGCTATTGTTTGGGTGCATGTTATTCCATAGCCGACTTGTTGGTTGACGATAACAAAGCATCCTTCTTCACCTTTTCTTTTTTGATCAACCACCATGGCGACAGTTTCATTGTTATTTATATGTGGAGGATCTAGAGAGATTTTGTGTCATTTGGTTGGACTCCCAATAACTTGTAACGTCTCGTTCTTCAAATGAGCTTGCAGGTCAACCTCCAGCCATTAACCTCTGAATTGACTTATCATTTCCAGTGTGTTCACCGGGACTTGGGAGCTCGCAACATCTTGCTTGGTAAAAATATGGTTGCCATGGTTTCTGATTTTGGACTGTCACGTGACATTTATGAAACTGGAGTTTACGAGAACACTACAAAGGTGGGTTTCATGGAACATAATGGGAATAGTTCCCTATACTCACCACATTTCTCTTCCCCCCTCCCCCTCCCTCTCTCTCTGGCTCTCTCTCTTATATATGCCGTAGTCGTAATCATACTAAACTTTTTTAAAATACACCTGTTCGTTTTTAAAGGGTCTTCTTCCTGTTCGTTGGATGGCCCTTGAGTCTCTCCTAGATTACACCTACACCAGCAAGTCTGACGGGTAAGTAACACAAATTAAATCAAGTGAAGTTGGTCACTTGCACACACACATTCTCAGTTAGAATTATCCATATTTTTCTTCTTCTATAGTTGGTCATATGGAGTTGTGCTGTGGGAAATTGAATGCGGTGGTGAGTCAACTCGTATTTATTTCTAGTGAGATATCTCCCTCACCTTCCAACAACAAAGCGCCATACTTGGTGCTAGTAGTTGTTCCACCCTGTGTGTTTCACTATTTGTATTCATATTTTCATAGGTCTACTGCCGTATGCTGGGATGTCTGGTTCTGAAGTTATCCAACGACTACAACAAGGATACAGACTAGAGAGACCAAACAACACATCACGTGACATGTAAGCCTTAAGAACCATTCGTGAATACCGAGACATTAATTGATTATCATGGGTAATCAAATTGGGGGATTAATTACAGTCCTTTTGCCTCTGAGTCGGGTGCAATTTATAGACTCTGCATTACTTGTGATTAGAGTTTGCTGGGTCTCTCCAATGATTTTTTAAGATACTTTTTAAAGGTGTAGAGAAAGTTTTTCAGAATTTCCTTTCTCTATAYATGACCTAATACACACTAAATTCGAGTTCGATGTGAGAGTTATCCTTGCCATGACGTTTCAGAGTTCGACGAAATTTTAAAATTTGCAATTGGTTTGCTGTTTTTGTTTCCAATTTCACGATATTAAACTGCATTTTTATTTGTTAGGAAGTAAGAAAATTGGAGATTAAAAGAAAAAACAAACCCCTAAACGTTGCCCGTATTGAATTACTATGCTTTAGATACGAGATCATGTGGCATTGCTGGAACCCAGATCCCGACCAAAGACCAACATTTGCTGATCTGGTCTACAAAATTGGTGGTCTGATAAATCTCGGTGCCGCAGTAAGTACACAGGCTATTTGAATTTTAAAACTATGAAAATGTAACTATCGTTCATAAGAGAATATTCAACAGTTATTGAATGAGTAAGATGACATCAAATGGTTTTTTTGTTAAACGTTATTTCCCGATGTCAACAGTTTGCATTGATTTGGGACGGACTTCGATAATAATGTATCCAATCTCAGTATCCAGTTCGACAGATCAATAGGCTTTGTTTTTGCATGCATGATTACGCTACTATATCATCCAATCAAAACTGCATGTTTATGCCATAAATACGAATTCTCGATGGTCGATAATTCCAAAGTTCGATAATTGTTTTAAATAGTTCGACGAACTCCGACTAATATTTGTGTTTCGCTATTTCCTCTTGATTTCCTGCTCCGAAAGATTCGACTCACCCAACTGTTATTTGTAGACAAAAGCGATTTTATTCTTAATGCGCATGCCGGAACTGTGCGGTTTTCAGTCGTACCAAGTAATAATCAATCTCGTACCCAGAGCCTGCGTTTCTTCTGGCCTGCGGCGAAGAACGAGGGCTCTGGCATAATCCACATTTTGGCGCATGCGAAATTTTCGAAAAGTGATATTGACCGTAAAAATTGAAAATCGGGGGAAAAAATATTTTTAATTTTTGACAAGTCTTTGAACACATGCGCTGTTATACCGGAAGTCCAATAAATCCTGGTCTCAACATATGGATAATGCCAGAGCCCTCGTTCTTCGCCGTAGGCCAGAAGAAACGCACGCTCTGGGTAAGAGATTGAGTAATAATCTCCAATTGTTACCAAGGTAATCAGAATAAAATATCATTAGATTCTCCATGTACAATGTTCTTGAAACAACCTCTTTCCTCCTATCAGCTATGTCATTTGGCTGAAAGGGAATAGATCGTTGTATGATTACGTATGTCTAATAATGAGTCATGGTTTGTTTTTCTTTAGCTATAGGATACAATCACCTCGAAAACAGTGCACCTGTATACTTTGACGACCGATGCATCATGTCACCCATATAAGTATTCTTACAATATTTCCTGAGGTCTTCAGATGAAGGTGGGATACAATAAAGGTAACGTAAACATAATATAAGTTAGTTAAAGGTGTTAATAACAAAAGCATTAATATAAATGTGTAAGGATATCATAACAGTAATTATACTTAAGCACTCAAGTTAGTTAGGGTGCATCTAGGATTTTGATTTGGGGGATTACCTCGGAAACATTATCGTTACCAGAATCTGCGCAATTGTTAGCCAGCGGAGGGCAACGCGCCCCATTTTAAATCTTATTGATTCTGAAACAAATTTACATTCGACCACGGCAACACAGCAGTGGTTTATGTGTGTAYCTTTTTCTCGCTTTTTAAATGTTAGAATAAATGGCATTTGTTATACGGATGTTGAATAATGTAATTTTTTTCTTTCATCATCGGGTTCTTTTTAGTTTAGTATGCTGAACCTGATTATTTTCAAATTTATTTCTTCCGCATTACTAGCTTGACTGATTATGATGTATGCACTTACAGAGTACATTATATAATGCATTTGCACTGTCTTTTCATAATATTTATGAATAAGCCTGCGGTAATGCTTTACCATTTTTTGACGACCTGTCATACGTTGCGTTGCCTGGTTACATTAAAAAAGTTTTTTTTCAAATTTGTTTGTTTTTGTTTGTTTTATTATATTTCCCCCTTTTCCCCCTCATTTTAGCTTGTTTGCTTATTTTATCGTATTTTCTTTCCTTTTTTTCCTTATTTTTGTTTATTTGTTGGTTGGTTTTATTATATTCCTTTTTCTTTTTTCACCTTTTTGTCTTAAAACTAATTACTATTCAAACAACAAATACTGCTTTTAATGCTTCARTCTTTTATTTAGTAACTCCTCTTACTGTTAGCGATACTTATCCTTCAAGAATTGGATGGACGTTTTACATGAGTCAGGTGCTTACAATTCTCTATCCTGAGACTAATCTACTTTCTAATCTTGGTTATGTGTGGAAAGACGGTTATCTAGTCTTATAATGGTCTTATTTTTAACTCATCTCCCTTAAGTGAATAGCTATGACCTTTCCATTTGTACCATATGATACCTTGCCAAGGTTTCTTGTGCTTCCCGTGGAGGTACTGACCATTGAGGTTCGATCGAAAACAATTATCGTACCACCATGCCCCTTTRAATACAACGGCACAGTTGCGTCTCCCTGTGTCATTGTCATTATCTTTAGTGGAGAAAGCCATACCTCGCTGAAAAGACATCGAATCACCTGAATTACCTGACAAAAAGTAAAATTATTGTGATTTTTTTTATGGCTGCATGCATACAATAAAAAGATAATATATATGTTTATCGCAAAAAAGGCTTTAGATAAATTTCACGAACATTCCGGAAAGCAACTGATTAAGTGCACAAATAGTTTGCGCAATTTTCTTTTTTCTTTTTCCTATCTGGTTTTAATTACCTGTGTAAGTTCCAAGACTCAAGCTGTACTTGCTTCCTCCACTCGACACGGCAAAGAAGTCGTACTCAGCATACGCACGTGCGCCACTGGTGTCCTCAAGATCCACACGAAGACGGTTACGAGTCTGATGGGTCAGTCGATAGATTTTCTCAAGTCCCAACCAGAACTCTCCTTTCAGGTCACCGAAGCCATTTTTGTAGTCAGTCCACCCGCGATAGAAATCAACAGATCCGTCTTTTCGTCTTTGAAAGACTGTCCATCCACCGCCATTAGTCTTTTGGTCGCAGTAAACCTGGATAAACGAATTCGAATTAAGCTACTTAGCTTCGTCTTTAAAACAATGTTAACATAATCGTTTTAATTACCTTAAAAGGCCCTTTTCTGTCTGGTTTGATTGTGTAAACCCCACTTTTGCTTCCATTACACTTGAGGACCTCAGCACAGTTCTTGGGCACTAAATATTAAAATGAGAATTACACATTAAAATAATGGATAAAAAGACCCGGTAAATCACTCTTTTAAGAACTTACTCTTGGGACAAGAAAGGCCGTTTTCGGCCGAGCCAACTGCTTTAATAAGTCGATCCAACTTCTTGTCTAACATCTTCATCAAGCCAAACATCTTTTTGGAATTGGGGACAACAACGTTTACGGTAACATCCCCACCTTTTTTGATCTTGGCTACTTGTGTTCCTTCAGCAATTAGAAGGAACTGCAAGCCAAATAGAATTAACGAAAGACTCAAGACTTTCATTTTAAGCCGGTTTCTTTTGGTAGTAATCTGGAGCACAGCTAGCAGAGTAGGTTCTCAATCAGAATAAAATCAAACATCCAAATTAAAGAGGAAAGAGGAAAAAATCTTAACAAGAATTTTTACTTGTTTCCAATAAAAGACAATTTTCAGTTTATTTGCATAGAACCATTTGTCAATGAAGGAGGGGTAGACTGGTCCAAATGAGAACACCAAATTGAAAGAAGAATAGTGGCTGATCGAAGTTTTTCTGCCTAGCAAATATGTCCATAGTTTTGTGGTATATAATTTATATTTGAGGTATATAATTTTGTTCTTATCCTCCAAGTGACAAAAGCAATTTAAGATTTCGGCCTCGGGTGCATTAGATTGTTTTAGTAAACACAACGTGACGTAAAAGAGGACGGCAGCTCGCTGACGCGAATTGCTTTCAAAACGGCCAGTTAACTTCGCGAAGCCACATTCAGGACGTCAGTTCGCCTGTTTTAACGTCCTATTCAGGATGTTGCGCGCTGTGCACCACTTTCTCTTTCACTTTGCGTTGTGTTTGCTAAGTCAGTCTATTAGACTCACGACGAATTTTCAAATCAGGGGCTGAACAAAAACAGTTATGGAGTAAAAGGGTAACGTAACACTGGAGTACAATCATTATGACTGATAAATGAAGGTTCCTGTCATCTTTGTAAACTTAGCTTTAAAACTTATTGATGAGAAGAGTGTTTATAGTCCATTGACCCCTGACGAGCACTTCGTAGCTAAGAAGGTTAATTTATTGTTAATTAATTTTATATTTATAGTATGGTTGTCTCAGAACAGGAATTTTTAACTCGCTAAACTAAATATTTAATTTGGTCATGAAAGACAATGAGGACAATATGCTTCAGACAAATCTGAGGGACATTAATAAGGAAGGAAGGAAGGAAGTTTATTTATTTTACCACGGTAAAAACATCAGTCAAAGTAAAGATTTACAATTAAAAATCTGATCCTGATCTTTCTTTGTATATCCCAAAGAAAAAGACACTACGAAAGAGATTTCAATTGCTAATTTTTTTTCTTTTTGTTGTTGTTGTTGTTGTTGCGAAACTGACTCCTACCTTCCACATCATCTTTTGTGTGCTGTAATTGCTGGAATCTCTCCTCAAACCTAGTGCATTACTGAAATGAATCCCACCGCATATACCCAATTGTATACTATAATCATTACGCACTTTTTAATATTTGATTATTTATTTATTTATTCATTTTTACGGTATAAGTGGTACTGCAAATTTACATCGTTATTATATACCAAGGACATAGTTTCTAAGTTCTAACAATTTTCGGTGAACATGTTTTATCTTATCTTGACAATTGAATGTTTTTTTGTTGTTGTGGTTGTTATGACTAGATTTATTGCTAATTAACTCGTATTTTGTTATCGCTGATTAAAATGCAAATTAATTTACTAAATTAATTGCAAATTATTCGATGTTAACGGTCTAGACTTCGCGTTTTCTCTGCAGACAGAATAAATTACATACATTAGTAAGTGCAGTTTTTAAAGATTCCTTTTTATCGTTGTCCTACGAAGTGTGTTCTTTATTGTACGAAGTGGTTCGTAAGATTATTGACGCACAGATTACTCTAGTTTGGATCACATATAGAAAACAGTTGATGGAAAGGAATTGTGTCTAATTTTGTTATTGATGACAGTACCATGGCAACTATTATAGATAGCACTCCAAGATAACAGTTGATGAGAACAGTCAACTATTATTGTACAATTTAACTTGGTCACCCCTTCCAATATCATTAGGTATGCCCTTAGTAATCTCTGTGCCAAATTTCATGCTTTTATCACACTTGTCACGACCAAGCCCATATANTTTTTTAAAATTTTTGACAAGTCTTTGAACACATGCGCTGTTATACCGGAAGTCCAATAAATCCTGGTCTCAACATATGGATAATGCCAGAGCCCTCGTTCTTCGCCGTAGGCCAGAAGAAACGCACGCTCTGGGTAAGAGATTGAGTAATAATCTCCAATTGTTACCAAGGTAATCAGAATAAAATATCATTAGATTCTCCATGTACAATGTTCTTGAAACAACCTCTTTCCTCCTATCAGCTATGTCATTTGGCTGAAAGGGAATAGATCGTTGTATGATTACGTATGTCTAATAATGAGTCATGGTTTGTTTTTCTTTAGCTATAGGATACAATCACCTCGAAAACAGTGCACCTGTATACTTTGACGACCGATGCATCATGTCACCCATATAAGTATTCTTACAATATTTCCTGAGGTCTTCAGATGAAGGTGGGATACAATAAASGTAACGTAAACATAATATAAGTTAGTTAAAGGTGTTAATAACAAAAGCATTAATATAAATGTGTAAGGATATCATAACAGTAATTATACTTAAGCACTCAAGTTAGTTAGGGTGCATCTAGGATTTTGATTTGGGGGATTACCTCGGAAACATTATCGTTACCAGAATCTGCGCAATTGTTAGCCAGCGGAGGGCAACGCGCCCCATTTTAAATCTTATTGATTCTGAAACAAATTTACATTCGACCACGGCAACACAGCAGTGGTTTATGTGTGTATCTTTTTCTCGCTTTTTAAATGTTAGAATAAATGGCATTTGTTATACGGATGTTGAATAATGTAATTTTTTTCTTTCATCATCGGGTTCTTTTTAGTTTAGTATGCTGAACCTGATTATTTTCAAATTTATTTCTTCCGCATTACTAGCTTGACTGATTATGATGTATGCACTTACAGAGTACATTATATAATGCATTTGCACTGTCTTTTCATAATATTTATGAATAAGCCTGCGGTAATGCTTTACCATTTTTTGACGACCTGTCATACGTTGCGTTGCCTGGTTACATTAAAAAAGTTTTTTTTCAAATTTGTTTGTTTTTGTTTGTTTTATTATATTTCCCCCTTTTCCCCCTCATTTTAGCTTGTTTGCTTATTTTATCGTATTTTCTTTCCTTTTTTTCCTTATTTTTGTTTATTTGTTGGTTGGTTTTATTATATTCCTTTTTCTTTTTTCACCTTTTTGTCTTAAAACTAATTACTATTCAAACAACAAATACTGCTTTTAATGCTTCAATCTTTTATTTAGTAACTCCTCTTACTGTTAGCGATACTTATCCTTCAAGAATTGGATGGACGTTTTACATGAGTCAGGTGCTTACAATTCTCTATCCTGAGACTAATCTACTTTCTAATCTTGGTTATGTGTGGAAAGACGGTTATCTAGTCTTATAATGGTCTTATTTTTAACTCATCTCCCTTAAGTGAATAGCTATGACCTTTCCATTTGTACCATATGATACCTTGCCAAGGTTTCTTGTGCTTCCCGTGGAGGTACTGACCATTGAGGTTCGATCGAAAACAATTATCGTACCACCATGCCCCTTTGAATACAACGGCACAGTTGCGTCTCCCTGTGTCATTGTCATTATCTTTAGTGGAGAAAGCCATACCTCGCTGAAAAGACATCGAATCACCTGAATTACCTGACAAAAAGTAAAATTATTGTGATTTTTTTTATGGCTGCATGCATACAATAAAAAGATAATATATATGTTTATCGCAAAAAAGGCTTTAGATAAATTTCACGAACATTCCGGAAAGCAACTGATTAAGTGCACAAATAGTTTGCGCAATTTTCTTTTTCCTATCTGGTTTTAATTACCTGTGTAAGTTCCAAGACTCAAGCTGTACTTGCTTCCTCCACTCGACACGGCAAAGAAGTCGTACTCAGCATACGCACGTGCGCCACTGGTGTCCTCAAGATCCACACGAAGACGGTTACGAGTCTGATGGGTCAGTCGATAGATTTTCTCAAGTCCCAACCAGAACTCTCCTTTCAGGTCACCGAAGCCATTTTTGTAGTCAGTCCACCCGCGATAGAAATCAACAGATCCGTCTTTTCGTCTTTGAAAGACTGTCCATCCACCGCCATTAGTCTTTTGGTCGCAGTAAACCTGGATAAACGAATTCGAATTAAGCTACTTAGCTTCGTCTTTAAAACAATGTTAACATAATCGTTTTAATTACCTTAAAAGGCCCTTTTCTGTCTGGTTTGATTGTGTAAACCCCACTTTTGCTTCCATTACACTTGAGGACCTCAGCACAGTTCTTGGGCACTAAATATTAAAATGAGRATTACACATTAAAATAATGGATAAAAAGACCCGGTAAATCACTCTTTTAAGAACTTACTCTTGGGACAAGAAAGGCCGTTTTCGGCCGAGCCAACTGCTTTAATAAGTCGATCCAACTTCTTGTCTAACATCTTCATCAAGCCAAACATCTTTTTGGAATTGGGGACAACAACGTTTACGGTAACATCCCCACCTTTTTTGATCTTGGCTACTTGTGTTCCTTCAGCAATTAGAAGGAACTGCAAGCCAAATAGAATTAACGAAAGACTCAAGACTTTCATTTTAAGCCGGTTTCTTTTGGTAGTAATCTGGAGCACAGCTAGCAGAGTAGGTTCTCAATCAGAATAAAATCAAACATCCRAATTAAAGAGGAAAGAGGAAAAAATCTTAACAAGAATTTTTACTTGTTTCCAATAAAAGACAATTTTCAGTTTATTTGCATAGAACCATTTGTCAATGAAGGAGGGGTAGACTGGTCCAAATGAGAACACCAAATTGAAAGAAGAATAGTGGCTGATCGAAGTTTTTCTGCCTAGCAAATATGTCCATAGTTTTGTGGTATATAATTTATATTTGAGGTATATAATTTTGTTCTTATCCTCCAAGTGACAAAAGCAATTTAAGATTTCGGCCTCGGGTGCATTAGATTGTTTTAGTAAACACAACGTGACGTAAAAGAGGACGGCAGCTCGCTGACGCGAATTGCTTTCAAAACGGCCAGTTAACTTCGCGAAGCCACATTCAGGACGTCAGTTCGCCTGTTTTAACGTCCTATTCAGGATGTTGCGCGCTGTGCACCACTTTCTCTTTCACTTTGCGTTGTGTTTGCTAAGTCAGTCTATTAGACTCACGACGAATTTTCAAATCAGGGGCTGAACAAAAACAGTTATGGAGTAAAAGGGTAACGTAACACTGGAGTACAATCATTATGACTGATAAATGAAGGTTCCTGTCATCTTYGTAAACTTAGCTTTAAAACTTATTGATGAGAAGAGTGTTTATAGTCCATTGACCCCTGACGAGCACTTCGTAGCTAAGAAGGTTAATTTATTGTTAATTAATTTTATATTTATAGTATGGTTGTCTCAGAACAGGAATTTTTAACTCGCTAAACTAAATATTTAATTTGGTCATGAAAGACAATGAGGACAATATGCTTCAGACAAATCTGAGGGACATTAATAAGGAAGGAAGGAAGGAAGTTTATTTATTTTACCACGGTAAAAACATCAGTCAAAGTAAAGATTTACAATTAAAAATCTGATCCTGATCTTTCTTTGTATATCCCAAAGAAAAAGACACTACGAAAGAGATTTCAATTGCTAATTTTTTTTCTTTTTGTTGTTGTTGTTGTTGTTGCGAAACTGACTCCTACCTTCCACATCATCTTTTGTGTGCTGTAATTGCTGGAATCTCTCCTCAAACCTAGTGCATTACTGAAATGAATCCCACCGCATATACCCAATTGTATACTATAATCATTACGCACTTTTTAATATTTGATTATTTATTTATTTATTCATTTTTACGGTATAAGTGGTACTGCAAATTTACATCGTTATTATATACCAAGGACATAGTTTCTAAGTTCTAACAATTTTCGGTGAACATGTTTTATCTTATCTTGACAATTGAATGTTTTTTTGTTGTTGTGGTTGTTATGACTAGATTTATTGCTAATTAACTTGTATTTTGTTATCGCTGATTAAAATGCAAATTAATTTCCTAAATTAATTGCAAATTATTCGATGTTAACGGTCTAGACTTCGCGTTTTCTCTGCAGACAGAATAAATTACATACATTAGTAAGTGCAGTTTTTAAAGATTCCTTTTTATCGTTGTCCTACGAAGTGTGTTCTTTATTGTACGAAGTGGTTCGTAAGATTATTGACGCACAGATTACTCTAGTTTGGATCACATATAGAAAACAGTTGATGGAAAGGAATTGTGTCTAATTTTGTTATTGATGACAGTACCATGGCAACTATTATAGATAGCACTCCAAGATAACAGTTGATGAGAACAGTCAACTATTATTGTACAATTTAACTTGGTCACCCCTTCCAATATCATTAGGTATGCCCTTAGTAATCTCTGTGCCAAATTTCRTGCTTTTATCACACTTGTCACGACCAAGCCCATATATTGCAATAAGCGACCTGTCTATATGTTTCACTGTGGCCTCCTATAGTATCATCGGTAATAGTAGCATTACGAGAGAAAAATATATATTCCTAATAACTGAATTTATTAAAAAGATATATTAATTGAAAGAAATGAAATGGCARATAGGCTTACCCTTTTAGCATTTCTTGCAGCTCTTCTTGCAGTTCACGTGCATATAGACTGGGTTCTTATCGCACTGGTCTGCCTTTGCCCACTTACTGCAACTAGGGTTGTTGTCTCCACAAACTGCACAGAATATACCAGTTATTAAACATATAGAAAATCGTACACATTTTCTTGGGATTTGTAAAGATAAAACAATTTGCTAATGATATTAATTTTCAGGAAGTTTCTTTTGGCTCGCATCTCAAGAATTCTTTTGAGGATAAAATGGCTATTATTGATATTTTTCGTGCTAGACATTGATTTGGGTAGGATCAACAAAATGCAATTTCTGGAAAATTACTTAAAACTGGTATCAATCAGCCGAATGAGTCTTATGGGATAATCTTATGATTATGACCAGCCTTCAGCGAGGGGCAAACGCTGCCTTCCATGTTCAGTCATGCATTTATATAAACTCATGAAGTTTAAGTGCACACCACCGGAGATCATAGAAAACTATTTTGGACTTAGACAAGACATAGGCTGGTAAATTAACTGGGCCATACTTTTAAAAGAAATTATCAAAACCTCGAACCTCGTGATGTTTTCGCTTACCACAAACATTGCAGCTCTTTGGGCAGTTTGCCTGCATCCATTTCTTGTTCTTCAAAGTACATTCGTCCTTTAGGGCCCAGAGTGGACATTGATCTTTGAACTTGGGGTTGTCATTGCAAGATGGAGCTGCAATTTTGGAAGAAGATATGTAAAACGAATCAACAAGAAGCAGGGATGAAAAAAAAAAAAATTAGGAAATCATTAGAATCTATAACTTACCATTGCAAAATTCACAGCTCTTTGGACAATTGTCACCCATATATATTCTATTCTTTTGGCATTCTCCACGCTTCGCCCACAAAGGACACTGGACTGGGTTTAAATCTTTACAAACTGTAACAAAGAAGATATAGTCCTTTAGGGAAGCACGGGTGGCGTAGCGGTGTGAGAGCTCGCCTCTCATCAATGCGACCCGAGTTCGGGTCCCGCCGGGTTCGGTGTTGTATATGAGTAGAGTTGTTTGTTGGTTCTCTCCTGTGCTTCGAGGGTTTTCCGGGTTCTCCGGTTTTCCTCCCTCCTCAAAAATCAACTCCTAAATTCCAATTCGATCACGGAATGAGGGCCACAGGTTTTTTAGCCAATGGCTATTAAGTGCTACCCTCGTGAAAAAAGGAAGGTATTAGAATGCGAAAAAAGAGCTATGGTTTGAGTGCATGTGTTCAGAGTGTGTTCAGACGTTTGTTGGTAGGAGATCTGAAATCTGAAATCTGAGACCAAAGTAGCATGCTGCAAAATGTAATACTATTCACAGCAGAACAACGTAGTTTGCTTATATAATGCGATATGAAGAATGAACTTTGAAATGTGATTTTTCGTATTCTTGCCATAAGACATAAAAGGCACAAAAATTAAAATAGGTGTATATTTTATCGAACGTCACTTTTGAATGGATTGACGTCATAGAAAATTCATAAATTCATCCAAATTTGCAGTATGATCGCAATCGTGAAAGACAGGAATATCAACTAATGAGCTGTAATTTAAAAGAATGTAGGCAGATAGATTGAGACCCATATATATACGAGGCTGTTTCTGCTTACCACCACAAACTTGGCAGCTCTTAGGGCAGTGTTTCTTCATCCAGACTGTGTTAGTGTTACAAGCTCCGCTTGCTGACCACTTGGCGCAGGATATGTACTCATCTTGACAAGCTATTAAAAAAAAAGAGGAGAAAGATTCACATGTATTAAGGGTACCTAATTAACGTCAATATTTATGTCTATTGAACCAGCCACTGCGCAACAGATCATTGTGGTGGTCAAACGGAACGTTTCTTGCATAACCGTCTCTGTCAACAGCCCGACACGGCACGGCACGGCACGTTCGTATCATCAGTTTTTTTAYGCGAGTACATAAAGAGTCAATTTTATATAGCATTTAATCTGTAATTTTCAACCCAACCCAGATTGATTACTAGGCTTTGAAAAGGCTAACATTTAGATGCTGTACTTACAGCATTTGCCTGGGTCTATGTACACATCATCTATAGCTATATCAGAGTAGCCCACACTGCCGACAGTTGCAACTATCTCGAGCTGAAACACACAAGCAAAACAAAAGAGGTCACTATATATACAGGCGAAATCCAAAACGATAATTAAAGACTAAAGGAAAAAAATTGTTCAGTAATGAATCGAGCTTCCTTTCAGGTTTGCGCGCTCATCCAAATGTTATATGCGACAAAGTTGACGGGACATAAAGCTAAAAGTTTGTGGATGGCAATAATCCCCTTCACAATTCCCAGCGCCATCTTGAAAGGTAGCCGTGCCTTTGTTTTGAAGCGAGGCGTGGATAATTGTTCAAGGTATTAAAAACGCAATCTATCATTTCAAGCTCTCATCGTCTCGCTTCGATGCAGAGGCACGGCCACCTTTCAAGATGGCGCAGGGAACTGTCAAAGGCACTATTCGTAAGAATTATTTAAGATAATTCAATCATCAAAATTAAATTAAATCGAACACTTTAAATTAGGGGCATAAAATGTCTTTAGAAAATGGTCTTGAAAGGCTTCACATAGGAATATGCAACTTACCTTAAAACCCTCATTCGCCTGAATAGTTGCCGTCCCAAGATGCCAAGGTGTACCCTGATTCCCCTTTTTGAAAAAGATATTTCTTGTTGGTGATCCTGGTCGATGAAGTCTAACTTCCAACGATCCCATTGTATTACCATACATTGTATAGTAAAACTTGAGACACTGGGAACCTGTTTTACTAGATGTCAGAGTTGGGCTTGTCAGTATCGCCTGGTCACCATGTTTTGCAGGACTAGATGATTCCATGTATAAGTAATAACCTGCAATGATAAAAAGGTAAATTATACACCGTGAAAAGATGAAAAAATAATAATAACTAAATATACTACTAATAATATACTAATAACCTGGTAAATATTTTGTAAATATATGTTATTAGTTTTTCTATTTCAATTTCATAAATGTGGATAAACATTTATCCAGAAAGGGTTTTCAATTATTGAACTAAAAGGTTTCGTTTCCATTTTTCTTCAAGAATCAAATATTTTGCTTCCTCGTCGGCTCGCACCTCATTATTCACACTTCGAACGAAATTTTCGTAATATGGAATATGGAAGTAAAGATATCAGAATTTTTACCTTTTCCAGTAGTGTGATCACTCATTGGTCCAGTATCCAAGGTCTTCGTGAAAGCAGTGTGTCTGATCCACTGTAGCTTTGTACCGACTTTATTCTTCCACATGCCAAAGGGATGACTTGAGTCATCAAAAGTGGTATCATCCTTGCCTTTAAATTGAACAAAGAAGAACTGATGTCATTAAGTATTTCTGGTGCGAGACGTTTACATTCGCGAATTCGATCAAGAATTGCATGGGTTGCCATTAAATAAACGACATAAAAAATAATCAGATGATGGGACAGCACGACTTGCTATTTCTTCCTTCCTTGCTTCGTTGCTTCGTTGCTTCGTTGCTTCGTTGCTTCGTTGCTTCGTTGCTTC